TTGCACGAAGATTTGGATCCTCATGGATGAGAAATACCCGCAAAGACTCTAAAATAGAAGCCCCATGAATAAACTCATAGAAACCCTGCATGCCATTTAGGACAAAAGATCAGCCAAGTTTGGCAAACTTTTGACATCATAATTTTATGATCCGTTTGCTTCTCTTTAAAGAAAGATGCATTTGCAATTGTTTATGTTGCACGTTAAAAGAACTATTCACCACAAAGATTACCGCATATAAAATATTCTGAAATCATCTCTAGGCATTCTTTTGTTTAGTGAAAGGAGGATTACTTATTTAGTGCACAGATAGAGGGATAAGGGAGGAAAACAGGAGCAATCGCTTAATTAAGTTGCATGCAGTGAGTTTGTTGGACGACTTCTAAAGGAATGACAAACTCCTTTAGTGTATGGACATTTTGTAGGCCTCTCTAAAATATAAACTCACCTTATCCATACGTGCTAGATCCGATATGATCATCAGAACATCAAGTAGAACCTCTCTTGGGCTTGAAGAATCAAGCAATCTTCGCATTTTGTTAGGGTTCAACAAGCCTTTTCCCACAAGTTGTAGTGCAAGAGGCCGGTGTCCTACCATCTTGGCAAGCAAGGCAACAGGTCTTCCCAAATCTTTTATCTCCAAGTGATCCAAGCAATGAAGGATAATACCAGGCACCCCTACCTGAAAATTCCAGATGCAACTGAATTAGAAACAACACATTTTTTAATAACTAGATGTTACTATGTCTCAATAGTTCGAAATTGCATCCACGCCAAAAGCTCAAGGCCCACACCCATAAGATGCTCTGGGAAAGATGTGCTCCTAAATACATTTTCTTGCATAAACAAAATGCCAAAAATTTAAGAAGCTCGTCTTTGTTATACTGTTGCTTGTTCCTAAAACAGTGCAATTTATTGACATCCTAGCTAACTTGCATTGTACCAAATATTTGAGTGATCAACACTCTGGAAATAAATCATTCAAATGGATACAGAAATTAAAAGGCAATCCAAAAAAAGAAAAAGCAAAAGAACAACCTCCAAAAGGACTTTAATATATTTTCCCATGTCCTCTTCAATTGCTTTCATCATTTCCTTGTCTTCCATGCATACTCTGCCCCCAGCTGAACAAGTGTTGAGAATAAACCCACTGTTTACAGAGGCAGTGGCAGACAGCAAGCCTGGAGTATTCTGTACAGCAATGAAAGGAAATGCTAAAAGATCAATTACAGCATTTATTATGTCTCTGACTCCACCCTTCCCTCCCCCAGGTCCATCCCAATGTTTCACAAGCTTGAGATAAACATCAGAATTCAAATCAGAGATGAGCTTAACATGTTCACTTTTGATAAGAATCTGACGGAATGTTAAAGCTCCACCTGACAGACAGTGACAAATTGACGATACTGTCCAAGCAACTCCAATAGGTGATAATCCAATGCTTCCAGTTCCTTGAGATGCACTAGGGGTTAACAAATCGATAAGATGTAGAGGAATACCACTAGCAATCACCTGTTGTACTGCCAATGGTCCCCCCCATCTCAGCCTAGAGTCTAGTAAGCCAACACATCCATCCCTAAGACCATGCCAATAGGAGAGAGGACCATTAGCATTAACAGAGTCAAGTTCATTTTCACTGCCTGAAGAAATCTTCAGTTGATCACAAAGTCTAGCAGTTCGAGGAATCAACGGCATTGCAATTTCAGATACAGGGGACTCAACAGAAGCTCCACTTTCAGAGATAAATGGATGCAAAGCTAGCATAGCCGATGCACAGTGAGATTGA